AATTAACCGAAGACGGGGGCGGCTATCTCTGCTTGAACATATGTTCTCCAGAGCCGGCCCATCCCCCCCCCCCACTGGATAACCCTGATGCTCCCTAGGTCCCCGGCTGGGGACTGGGGAGAGAGAACGCCCAATGCCTGAGCCAAGGTCCACCCACATTTGAAATTTAATAAAGTTGTGGCCAATTTAATCCCATAGCACGTTGTCATGAGTCGTTATTCCACATGACGGGGGGACCGCGCGGGATCTGGGGACTCCGCCTGTCCACGCAATGTGATCCTAGAGGCCATCAAAATCTTGTATGAATGTCTGCCTAGAATGTCCATGAGGAATGCGAGCAATAAAACCTGGGCTGGAACCACTGAAGATTCTGGCTTGCTGAGAGTGGAACAATGTGTTATATATGACATGGGGATGCCATTGAAAATGCCACCTCCATGGTACCATCTTGTCTTCTCCCTTGAAGCACATAGGATTGGTTTCCCCAGGTTGGGCAGTATCACATTTCTTTACCTCCTGCCCCACTTCATTGGCTGCCACTGAGAGGTGCAGGGAAATGCACAAGATGATGGTAGCATGCCATGGAAGTGAGTATTCCCACATAGGTTGTATGCAAGTACTGTTACATAGACATTCCTGTCTGTGCAAGGATTTCTGCTTGCACGAAGGAATGTTGTTCCCTTTTCTCTCTCTCCCCCCCCAACCCCTAAATCTGTTCTAGGGGGTTCCTTCAAAGCCTAGCAGAATTGCAGGGAGGACAGGAGGCACATGCGTGGGAAAGAGAGAAAGTCCTGTTGCAAAAGTGGGAATCCTTAGGCTGATAGCTGAATACCACCTTATGTTGCAAGCGACAGGAGAAACACAAATAAAAGGAATGCCATTCTCGCCAACATCCCCAACTCACACCTGTGTCTTACCGCCTGAAGCTAATCCAAAAAAGAGAATCAAGGCATTACATCCATTTGAATTCAAGGGCTAATCTTAATCTTGAACTTCAAATCCCTGGGTTGTAGAAGTGCCTGCTTGGAAAAAAGCAAGTCTGCTGAGGTCCACAGCTGCTCCACATCTAGTGTGCCTTGGGGTGAGAGAGAGAGAGAGGGAGGGAGGGAGAGAGAGAAAGAGATTTTGAAGACAGTGGCCAGGATGCTTGCGACTTTGGACTCTTGTTTCCTGGACAGCCGTCTCCTCCACTGCCACACTTCACAGCAAGCCACTTATGTAATTGCAGAGAGTTTCAAAATCAGTATGTAATGTGGCATCAGGTGGTGTCTGCTGTTCAAAGGAGGGGGAAAATCAAAAATTTCACTGGTGTCTGCCAGCCCTTGGGCTTGCCTAGAGCAGCTGCTGGCAACTTAGGCAGAACTTTATGTTGAAATGGAAATGATTAAAAAAAAAAGTATGCCATGAACCCTAAATACCTGATTTTACTTTCCTATACAGGAAAAAATATATTTTCCACTAGAGTTTTAGCTCATGTGCTGTTGCTAATAGTCCTCAGAAGTAGCATTTGACAATATACTTCTTTTTTTAAAAAAAGCTACCTTGCTTTAATAAATATGACCGAAGAGGACATTATGGCTTTCTTTAAGTTCACCTGGAGAAATGATTCTGCTTGTAGAAAGTGTTACAGCTCTGCAAGGGGTGACTACTGAGACATGTGCCTACCCTCAAGGACCAAAGTGGAAGATTTACTGTTGGCGTAAAGGGGACAATAACTTATGGGTAGCATGCTTTTTAAAAAAGTTTAAGTGAAATAAGAGAGAGCAAAACAGTATACCATGCAGGCAGTGCAAGACACCATGAAGTGAATGGAGGTGGCAGAAGGATAGAGCAAATGGCCTACAAAACTACAAAGGACAAAGGAATCCTTTTTTAAAAATTGTCCTTGCACAATTACCCCTTCTTGAAATTTGGTGTGCTCCATTTACCCAGAAGGGGCTAACCAGGCCCACAAATCTCACTGACTCTGCAAAAGGAAAAAAAATGTTTGATATCCCCATTCTAGTAATGGAGATGATATCAGAGTCTTCAGAAAAACGAGGCCAAGCTCTGCCTCAGTTCTGAGGTGAAAAATGATGCCACTCTGAACTAGAGAGACCCGCCGTTTCAGCCAGCGAGGTGGGTTCTGAGAAGAACGTGGGTTTGTGTTTTTACAGACCTCTTAATATTTACTAGCCAGGAAGTGGTTACTGCATAGTGGTAAGAAGGGAAGTGAGAATAATCTGGTGTGATTGTGCATGCACAAAGACACCCCCCCCCAAAAAAATGGCATCTCCAAGTGGCCTGAAGGGAATAAAATGGAGATAGGAGTTTGAAAGGGACGCATGCCTTCAAGTCAGAGCTGTCCATGATGAATAGCAACAGTTAAGGGAGTGGACTGGTTGATTAGCCAGACACATTCCAGGTAAGTCCAAATTTAGGGGACAGCATTTGTAGTATAGCCAAACAGTTGTGCGGTTTGTTAGCAAATGAGCATCAGCTGAATGCTTATGAGGGAGCCAAGTCTTGTACCTTTGCCACAGATGCTGTGGCTCTCAGCAAGGCGCCAGAAGCCTTTTTTCAGCATTCCCTTCTGAGCAACCTTCCAAGAGTCACAAGCCGGGGTGGGATGCTAATCCAAAAAGAGAGAAACGAAGTTAATAATGAAAAAGAGAATCAAGGCATTACATTCATTTGAATTCAAGGGGTAGGCAGGACCACAGGCAAAAGTGGGAGGAGCAACAAACGCAAATGTTACCTTTGTACAGTAACCTAGTTTCTCCTCATGGTCACACAACCGTCCCTACTGCGCATCTCGATAAGCAAGAGGCATCATCAGAGTTAAAGGACACATTCCAGCCAGGCAAAAAACACTCAAGGTGTGACATAAGGTCTAGTGAGGGGTGGGGGTATTTCTGAGGACCAAATAGAGAGGCCTGGGGGGCCACATTCACTCCTGCTCTTAGCCAAGGGGTCTGGGATCTAAAATCATTTATATTAAAAAGTATGCCTAGATGGGAAAATAAGAAGTTCCAGCTTTACAGTTTGACACTCAGAAAGACCAGTGTATAGGGAGGAGATGTGACAGAGGAGAAATGTGATTCAGCGGGCATTTAAAGTTGAATCTATCAAGTTTGAACTTTCCCAAACTATATGTGAACTGAAACACATAACTGAAGTACTTATCCGAACATTGAGATGCAGTGCCCTAATAATGTTTACAAACAAACAAACAAACAAAAAACCAAATAGGAGAAGGTGTGCATTTAAGTTAATATATTAGGGGAAACGAAAATGTGTTGCATTCATCAAAACTGTGTATAAAATGTGTTTATCAGGGGAGATTTGCATTGAAATGCTGATGAATTTTCAAGAGGATTTAAAATAAAAATAAATTTCTGAGGACAAAATTGTGAAGAACTGGATTGAAAATTAGGAAAATTAGAAACTAAGTGAATCAGATCCTTCCATCCAGTGCCTTTTTTCTGGGGATACTCAAGGTACTCAACACTGGCACCTTTTTCCCCCTAGAAGAAAAGCACTGGTGAAAAGTATGGGACTTACTGTAACAACTTCATGGTGCGTACTGGCACCTTTTTCTTTTACAGGAAAAGCACTGCTTCCACCCCTAAGGAATTGTAAATGAGAACACCCTTTGCACAACCATGTTAGATTTGTTTGGGGGTGTTTAGTTTTAAAAAGCAGATGTTAGAAACACCTTGGCAGAAACCCTGGAGAGATGCCTCTAGGCAGTACAGAAAACATTGGGTCAGATGTACCAGTGATCTGTCTCCAGTATAAAGTAGCATCATATGTTCATGTAGTATTATGACATGTCCAGGTTTTTTTCTGGTTGGTGTTGGTGGGTAGTTTCTTGCTCAAAGCTGGGCTATGAGCCTCAAGGCAGCATGCTCAATTCACCCCCCTCTTTCATTCGCCCTCCCCTTTTCACATTTTAACTGAATGAAGGCTAGGAAAGTTGTGTGGCACTAATAAGTATGGTTGGACTGGCAGGTTCACCCTCCTGCCCAAACCCTTTCTCAAAATTAAATCCAAAATATTTCAACCCATCTTGTAGCGCTGATCAGATGAACAATGAGGTATCACTGTGAATGCCTGAGGGACAGAAGCTGTTCCAGAAAGATATAGCAGAGTATCAGCATCATGTACATTTCCAGCAAATTAGCCTTCTGAGTGCCAGCATATAAATTAGGGAAAATGCTGGGCCCAGAAAAGACGCCTCTGGGGACCATCAGAGCTAAGCGTAATGCTCAGGAAACGGAAGAAAAAATAGCCCAAGGTAAAAAACTGACCACTCTGCTGCAGATTAAAACACAGCAATCCCAGTGTAGCACCGGTGGCATGCAATGTAGCTATACAAAACTACTCAGTGTTCAAAGACATCAGTGGTCTGTAGTAGAGCAAGACAATACAGAAACTCCAAAGGCCTTTGTGTCACTCCTGGAATTGCTTACGGTCTAATTTCCTGAGCACACACTAAGTGGAGATTCTAGATGTTAGCAGATCAAATGTTTCTCATCATCTGTAGTCTGCGTACTGTTTGCTAAGATTACCGTAAGTATAATTTTTCAAAGAGATTTCCCCACTTGGTGCCATATGTACCATTGGGCCATACAATTTCAATAAACCCTACCGTGTTCCAGTATAAAGCTCTGTAAAGCCACCAGGTGCTGTGTTTTGAATAGCTGCTTCCAGGTATAGACCTAGTCAGTGGCAAAGCTGCATGCTTTGGCATGTCTGTAACCTGAAGCGTCTGTAACCTGAAGCATCTGTAACCTGAGGTACCACTGTATATTAATAATCTCAGCCGATGGTAGCTCTTTGGAGATATGGCCACCCTGGTCCATGGCCACCATAGTTCATTGCATTGTATAGACCATGTTTCTGTGAAGAGGGAGACCTGCATGGAATTCAGCAGCATTGGCCTTGGGCGCAAGTGGGAACATTAGATGGTTCCATGGACTGAGATGGTTGTGTGACAATAGGTTCTTTATGGGGAAGGGATGTAACTCAGGGGTTGAGCATCTGCTTTGCATGCAGAAGGTCACAGGTTTAATCCCCAGCCTCACCAGGTGGGGCTGGGAGAGAATTCCTGTCTGAAACCCTGGAGAGCTGCTGCCAGTCAGTGTAGAAAATACTGAACTGGATAGACCAAAGGGCTGCTTTCTATGTTTCTATGCTTTCATTTTGTCCTGATTGATGTTTAGCAGGGTCAAAGCACCATAAATCATGGAACTACTTTATGAGATGGGAAAAAAGAACGGTTTAATATCTGATATGATTTTAACATTGCTGATTTATTTGTCGTATTCTCTTTTACTGTGTTTTTGCATTTTGTTATTTATTTGTTGAACATTGTCAACTTGCAACTGGTTCTATGGCCCGAGGAAACTTGTCTTTCTCAGAAAGCCTCCATGCCAAAGGGCAGCTAAGAGGGCCAACTAGTGTTCAATGGAAAAAAATATAAAACAAAAAACCCCACTTTGTGTACCCAAGCTTCTGGGGAGTATAACATAGCTCTTTAGCCAGTGCTGGATTTACGTATAAGCTAAACAAGCTATAGCTTAGGGCCACACTCTCTTGGGCCCCCCAAAAAACTTTAAAGGAAAAACAACAACTGGATGTACGTTTCCAAAATATAAGATAAAAAACAAATAAAATAAAACCTACATACAGCAACAGTGTTTTGTGTTGTGTAGGTCCATAAATTACCATATAGCATACATTCAACACAAAAAACAGTGACAATTTGTTGTTGACAAAGAACAGCTGGATATATAAAGGGCCCCATTACCTTCAGTAGCTTAGGGCCTCATCAGACTAAATCTGGCCTTCTTTGGCTTTTGGACAATGCAATTAATTTAAAGAAAATTTGTTCTCTGTGTAAGTTCAGACCTCTGTGTGTAGTATCCCCTCTGAAATATGCTTCAGAAATGGGCTTCTTTTCAGGACATTTTCAGACGATACTGGCCTTGCTGAGAAGCCAGTGAAATAACTCATGCAATCAGCATAAAACTGCTTACCGTTTTCAACAGCAGGGGCCGTTGTAGCCTGGTGTTGCCATGGGAAACCTGGGGGGAGAGTCTCCTGTCAGTGTACCTGGTTGACGTCATCATCAGCCGATCATGGGGGCTGATGGGATTTCCTACCAAAAATTTCAAAATTAAAATTCTCTGAAGCATTGACAAAATATGTTGTTGATTCCTAACGCCAATCAATCCTAGTTGCTATGGCCAATGGTCAGGGATGATGGGAACTGTAATCCTGTAACATGAAGAGGTCCCTGTGTTCACCATCCCAATTTACAAATTCACCTTATTTGCTTGTACCATTGTAGGTTCTTCTCTCTCTCTCTCTCTCTGATATAAGAAGGCATCGTTTTTGATTCCTGTATTTGTTGCATGTAGCACTGTTTCTGCACCGCTGCAGTTCATCTTCTGCCCAAAACTACATTATTTATCTCTCTGTCAGCTGTGGAGGAATAGCGTTGGAATTCTCTGACATCCCTTCGTACAAGGTGTCATAGTTATGTATGTCTTTATGGTTACTTTACACTCATCTTTTATCTTGTAATTACTTCGCCCTCAAAAAAAAAAAAAAAAAAGATTTGTGTCTCCCTTACTAAATAGTGCATGATGAAATTTCAGAAATGCTTCAAACATTCTTTATGACAGTTTTTCTGGAAGGATTTCTAGTCAGTGCAGGGAATAGGTCATTGCAACTGTGAAATAGAGCAAGTTCATTTAAATTTTTTGGCAACCCCCCCTTTTTTTTTTACAAATCTTGCTTGACAGCCATTAGGATAAAAGACAAGGATACTTGATAAGCCAGGCAAAGAAATGGAGCTTGAGAAGGCAGAATCGGAAAGGGGTTGGGAGGTTGGGAGAGGTAACAGAATGTCTGAAGAGAAGAGCTTTGCTCTCCTGGGAGACTGAAGAAGTGCTGGCGGTTGACAGACCGAGAGAAGTGCCTGGCTTCTGTGCCTGAGGGCAGGAGAGCCAAAAACCTAAAAGGGCTGGAGGAACATGGCCCTGGAAAAATAATATTTTGTAAAGAAAGAAGTTGGTGCAAAGTTCAACAAACTATATATAAAAGAGAAGCGTCCATGAAATGAAAGGCAGGTGGATTTTAACAATTATGGCGGCCATTTTCTTACCTGTAGTTAACTGTGACAGCAAAGAGAGCCCTTAGGCCAGAAGAAGTTTCCTTGACAGCATGAGGATGAGAGCTTAGGCTTCCACTCCAACATCAGAAATGGGCTACCAAGCCACCAAGAAATCTGCTTGCTGTTCCATTGTGCTCGGCTTTTAGAGTGTCTCCCTGCATTCCCTAATGTTGGGTTATGCCATTTGGTGCATAGCAGCTGGTATAAGGAGACAGACTTCCTCTGATACCAGAGACAGACCATAACCACCCTGGCTGGTAGCCACTGGAAGCCTTATTTGAATTTGCCTAACCTCCTTTTAAAGCCATGCAAATTGGTGGCCACCACCACATCTTGCTGTGAGTTCCAGAGGTTAACTAGGCACTGCATGGAGAAGCACTTCCTCTTTCAGCTTCATGGGATGGCCTTAAATTCTAATGTGATGAGAGAGCCAGAACAGTATCTACCTATCCCCTTGTCCACACATGCATAATTTTATAGACCTCCTTACCTTTTTTCTAAGCTACAAATGCCTTGCAGCTTGCCGGGCAATCAGCTGATACACATCTATCTCTTGTGAATCTTTATGTTTTATGTGATGTTAAAGCCAGTGATCCCCAGCGGCGTAGCGTGGGTTGTCAGCACCCGGGGCAAGGCAAGTAATTTGCACCCCCTAACCCGGGGCAAGGCAAGTAATTTGCGCCCCCTAACCCGGGGCAAGGCAAGTAATTTGCGCCCCCTAACCCCTAACCTGCCGCCGCTGCCAGCTTCTTCTTGCTGCTGCCTGGTCTGGTCTGGTGTGGTTCTCTCCCGTGCTCAGCGCTGCGCTGGGCGGCCACTGCACTGTCCCTCCCCCAGATAGTCCCTCGCTCTCTCTCCGCACCGCACGCCTGGCACCCACCCCCTCCACAGTGGGCGGCGACCCAGCGGCTCAGATCGGATTCGCACAGCCAGCACTGCAGTGAGAGAGAGTGAGTGAGCCAGGTAGGGGCAGAGAGCTGCGAGTGCGAGCGCGCCCCCCCCAGATGTTGCGCCCGGTGCGGCCGGCCCCCCCTGCACCCCCCACGCTACGCCACTGGTGATCCCACCTTTCTTTCTGATTTGAGGAATTATCTTTTGGGGGGGAAGAGTTCTGGCAAAACTGACATTTTCAAAAGCAGGAGCTACATTTTGGAGTATTACTGCTTATGCTGAGAGATTTTCTCCATGGAAGAAAACTGGTAAGTGGTCTTCCCATTTGAGGGCTTCATCAGCCAGTACAGATTAAGAAGGGAACAATCAAACAAGCTTACCTCTGTCATGTCCTCCTAAGTGAATGACTCCTGAGCGCACATCATGGAGAGTAAAGATCCTTTATGCTATGGGAAAGTGATGTCCTTAATGGATTCATTTGCTATTTATGGTCACATGTTCTCTCACATTTGAGTGACACCGCCTTTGTGCTGTCTGTGAGTGACTTCAAATTGCAAGGCATGATATTCCCCCCCAGTGAATGTTTATATTTGCAGAGATTGCTTAATTGTATGTCTGAGCCAATTTTTCATAAGTTTTGTTTTTCTATTCAAAAAGTTTTACTTATGCTTTTCAGGTTTATACATTTCACTAATTTTACAATCATTTTAACATTTCAAAACTTGACTTCTTTCCCCCTCTTTCTGTGGTTCCTTAAATTTATTTTCAATATCTTCTGCATATCCAAATTAATTTGCTCATTTATTCATCTACTTTAAATATATACTCTTATGAAATTGCAGGTTATTACAAAGATCTTGCCAATTTTCTTATCTGTTTACAATTTATCTGTAAATATCCAGTAAACCATTTCCATTCTTTTATAAAAAGTTTATCTTGATTTCTTATTTTTTTGGTAGGTTATGTTTTCTGCATCCAGAGGTGACATTGGGAATAGTTGCAGCAGCTGCTTCAGGGGAGTCAATCCAAAGCACACATCCCTTCTCACTTGTCAAGACTGAATGGGCAAGACTGTGCTACACACAGAGAGAGATGTTGATGGCTTCCTTTAAAGTAGCAACAGTCACCCTGAAGGAGGCAAAGACTTTTGCTCCTGTTTCTTTGCCCTCCAACAAATCAACAAAATAGAGGTGCCTCTTTTCACAGGCACGAGCTATTTAGCAATAAAGGGAGGCCCACTTATGCTCCAGCCTACTTAATATAGATTCCGTTTGTAGAAGGAATTGGAATTAGTTTAAATATATTACCAACAATGGGGTCAACCAACTCCTCCTTGGTATTGCAGAACCTCATTTATTCCAGCATTGCCTGCTGTGGGCTACGCTGGAAGGTTGCATTCCTTTTTTTAGCTAAAAATCTCTACCTCAGACTGACATGCAATTAGCTCGGGTGAAAACAGTTAAGTAACATATTTTAAAGAAACTACAGTAGTGAGTTCGCAAATTTTCTGCTTTCGGCTGTGGTACAACCCCTCAACAGATAATCATGTCATGTAAAAGGCATACAGAGGTAACATGTAAACATTGTGTCATTGCACTAAAGACCTATGAAAATCCTAGTTGGTAGAATTTACCTTGGGAGTTCTCTGCCATGAGAGTCTGCTCAGTGACGAAGGCCTCATTAGCTCCATCTCTTGTGTTGTGTTATGTTGTGCGCATAAAACGAGTTCTTCCCAGCTGCTAGCTTGATGTTTTTTTCTCTATGCTCCTTCAATCTTCCTCTCTGGAAATGCATCTTGGAAAAGAGAAGAGAGCTATCAAAAGGAAGGTCTGAGGACACAAATCTTATGAGGGCGTGGTCTAAAGCAACTGGATGTAGGCAGACACTGAGGTCCAACTCAAGAGCCTTCTGGCGGTTCCCTCCCTGCGAGAAGTGAGGTTACAGGGAACCAGGCAGAGGGCCTTCTTGGTGGTGGCCCCCGCCCCATGGAACGCTCTCCCAACAGATGTCAAGGA